ATCCAAATAGAGTCACCATTACCACATGAATTCAACGGTCTTAGCTCCACTAATTCACAAAATCAACTGGCACAATAGAGAGCTAGATAGGAAAAATGTGATACTTCAACATCTTCCATAGTGCTACACTACCTCCCTAGGTTGCACATTACTATAGAGACTATCAACTCAAAGCATACTGAGCAGGCAATTTGCAAGGAAACACGTACTTGGAGCCCTCAAATTTAAAAATTTGGACAGTGGACTAGGCTCCAAGCACACAAACAGCCAAACATTCACCTGCATACATAATCGAACATCCCCCACACTTAAGCACGAAATTGTCCTCAATGGAGGAAAGATAAGGATGGTAGAACGAAATTACCAGATCCAGGGCGAATGATGGTGGACGGGGCAGGCGGTGTATTCCAGGAGGAGAGAGTAGTCAGAACACAAACACCACACAAAATCTCACAAAGGTTGAGTTATTGACTCTAAAATCAAATAACAAAACTGACTCAACCGAAGAGAAAAAGAGAAAGAAATGCAAACCGACTGGTTGGGTTGCCTTCCAACAAGCGCTTCTTTCACGTCGTGAGCCAGACGATGGCTCCTAAGTTTTGGTCCACCCCAAAACCTCCTTGAAGTTGAGGTTCTCGTCAATGAGGTGGAGTCTCAAGTCACGAGCATGTGGTATGATAGTGATGGAAGCTCGTGCACTTGATGTGGATGAAGTCTCCACCCTCGAGACCTCTTCTTCTCTTCTCTCGTCTCAGTGCCCCAAACTAGATATGACAGCATCGATTGAACACCATCGCATCCACCAAGAGGAACCGATGTCGATGTGGCCTTGGTATGGCAAAGAGACACTGCAAATGGGTCCTTGCTAAGCAGTTCCTCGAAGTTTGGTGGGGATATTACTTGCAACTCATGGCCGGTGCAGGCCTCTTCCACCTCAGCTTCGTCCTCGGCCTGGTGGCCAATTGCTTCTTCAACCTCCCTTCCTTGTTCATGTGGTATCACCCCTGGGAAATGATCAAGAACTCCTCCTGCTTCACTTTCGTCATCCTCCACAACTTCTTTCTGCACCCTTTCTTGCTCTTCTTCTTCTAGCATGGATTGGAGAGCAAGTTGCCAAGCAATTTCTTTCATGAGATCTTCTTGCATCTCCTCACTCATGCCCGCCTCTTCAAAGCTCAGTTTGGGATGTGGGAAGGTGTGGTCGGCTACGACAGGACATTCCTGATCATGATCATCACGGGAGCTCTCTGTGACCACTTCAGTGTGCTCCACAATGTCCTTGTAGCCTTCTTCTTCCTCCTCCTCTTCTAGTATGGTAGCAGAAGGGTGATCCGGAGCACGTTGTGCACAAGATCGCTCAAGATCATCGACGCTCTTCTTAAGGCTCAGGAGGATTTCCTCTGTTTCACGATAGACCTGGGTACAAAGATCCATCCTAGACAATGATCTCTCACTGTCTCGAGCAAACTGCTCCATGAGAAGCCTCGATTCATAGTTTGGATCTGGTTGTGGAGTGTAGCATGGCTCTGCAGAATGGCCCGGGAAGGCCGGCATGGGTAACTCCAGCTCCGATGGCCCTTCTGGTTGTGGGTGAAATTATTTTTGGTAATGAGGTTGTTCTTGATAAGCCCAGGGGTCTGATTGTTCTTCGTAGTAAGGGGGTTGGTACTAGAACCCGAATCCATAGTATTCTCCTCCTTGATTGCTCCAGGGGGTCTCGGGGTAATACCACTCGAATGGTGGTGGATACCCCCAATGGTTGGAGAAGCCATGAGGATCCATGATTCAGATCTGCACCAACAAAAACAAAAACACCCAAGTGAAAAGCAAGGGTGGAAAATAAAAGAAAGACGCTTAAGTAACAAACTTCTGCCTTTCTTAATAATCTAGAAAGTCCCGGGCAACAGCACCAAAAACTTGACTCGCTATCACACAAATCCTAACAATGGCCAATTGTAACCAATGGAAGGGACTGCAGTATAGTGGCTCAAGTAATAAATATTGAATCCACGAGTCTCTAGAGTTACTATTACGCATCTTCAGTTCATTATTTAGCAAACCAGATTAATAAGGAAGAACTAAAACTACTCTAGCAAACTACAGTTAAAGATAATCTAATTACAGGTTGGGAACTCACTTAGGTATGATTCCCCCTAGCCACTAGCCAGATTAACGATTGATGATTTCTTACTTGTTTCACTTTCATTCACAATGCGGAGAATCCTTGACTAGACCGTGAGTTTCGACTAAAGGAACAAGGCCCTCTTGAGTCAATTGCCTAGAGGGTCATATCCTTCTCTAGAACAACCAATGAAGGCGTTCTGAACTAGACCCCCTCTATCGAAAGAGGTTCTCAATCGATAAAAAGCAGTGAATCAACCCTCGACTAAAGCAATCGATCCACTACTATCAATCTATGGTGCTCTATTGACCTAATCAGGTATTCGCTCTCATAGCATCAAAGCAGAATCAATAATCTCGACTAAAGCAGAATTGAATCATGAAAACATGCATAGATTGAATATGAACTCAAGATTATCAAGTAGGAGTACTCATACAATCATCCAATCAAACAAACATAACTACGGTTCCTAAAACCTAAGTGAAGGTAAGTTACTCCATAGAGAAGAGAAGGACTGCAATAAGAATATTCAGTTGATCAGTCTTCAAGTACGGGCTTGTTCCTCGAGTTTCCAAGGTGAAGAAATCCTCCAATTCCACTATTAGAATGCCCTCAATTCACCCTCTCTCTCTTTGGTTTGTCCCTTGGGTGTTTGGGATCCAAAACCCAGCTCTACCTTTCCTTTGGCTTCAATCTGCTTCAAAAACCCGATTCTGGGAAAAACACGGTCGAGGACATGGCCGTGTTTTACTTTTTCACGCCCGTGTTTTGCCCCCAGAAGCCCTCGTTCGCCAAAACATGGTCGTGCCTAAATATGGACAAGACCGTGTTTTTCTTTAGGCCAGCCCATGTTTTTACTGCCGAACCTGTTCCCCTATATTCAATGCTTCGTTTCTCCCTCGTCCGGACTCCGAATCAGTCGCAGTTTGATCCCAGACGCTCGTAGTCTCGTCTTCTTTCTTTTCATGACAAGATTGCATGATTATTTGTACAAAAAGTGAGGTATAAATCCATTCTTCTTCAGGTCATGCCCGAGTTTCTTCTCCCTAATCGCCAATTGATCTCTGATTGACTTGAAACTTGCGGCTATGCTTCACTTTATGTGCTAGGACCTGAAATGTGACAAAGGAACAAAACCTAGCGTAAAATAGGCCAAAGACGCGATAATTAAATCTCAAACAGTCAAGAAACAAAGGGGAAAACATGTGCAAATATCGAGTCATCAATATGATAATTTACAACAATATATTTTCAATATCTCGATCCTTTTAGTTTGGTTTTAACCCTAATAATTCGACCATCCCTTATGACAAGAATTAGTATAGAGAGCTTGTTATTAAAGATTAAGTATTATAGTGTTATATATTAATTGAACAAGAAGTTGAAATGTTAGTGCTTACACCAAAATAATATTTATTAATCACATGTATGAACAGCTTGGACACTTTAAGTAGTTTGTCCATGTGTACAAGGATGGTCAAATTTATCAAGTCGGGTTGTAGGTTCAATGGATGGTAGTGTCCAACCTTATGGATACCGTCCAAATCCTATTATGGATGGTAGTGTCCAACATCATGGATACCATCCAAATCCAATAATGGATGGTAGAGCCCAACATCATGGATACCATCCAAATCTAATAATGGATGGTAGTGTCCAATATCATGGATACCATCCAAATCCTATGATGGATGGTAGCATCCAACATAATGGATGTTGTTGGCGTCGAGCGCTTGATGACTGCTACTTCTTTTGATTCTTCTTCTTTCAATGACCTAAAACCCTTATTCGATCTTCTGAAAGAACAAGTGAAAGATAGAGAGAAATATGTAGTATTGATCTTAAGGCTAATTAACGAAAATCACTTCTCTTATTCTGATGAGTTATAAACAAACGAGTTGGGCTTTGAAGATCCGGCCCACACTTTTTCTTTAGTTTTCTTTTAGTCTGTCACTTAACCTCAGTGCTGCGTTTTAACCTTAAATCCCTGATCTTGTTCTTTCTTCTGTCGAGTTTCCTTCCCTGTATAATCTAGTCGACCTGACTCTGCAAAAATCAAGTAAGACCAGAACAACATAAGAATAAAATGCAGAAGCTTAAGAACACAAGCACTTTTACGTGGTTTCCAGTATTGGGAGAATAAGAATCCCAATACTGACTACTCCACGGTCGAAATAAGAATCCCAATACGTGGTTTCCAGTATTGAGAGAATAAGAATCCCAATACTGAATACCCCGACGATCCACTAAAGATAATTGTTTTGATGCTCCGATACAGAGTTGCACTCCTTGACGAGATCAATCTGCCTATCCAGGAAGCTTGATCGAAAACCTATCTTTCTCTCAGGAAATCTCAGCTATCCAGCCCCACTCTAATATAGACACACTCCTGTTCTATACTTTAAGTCCCTTTTCTTATCAATCTTAACTAACAAACTACTTTGCTCTCTTGTCAAAATTGATCTCTAGAAAAGTGAATTATCCTTCTCAATTCCTTTCTCTTTTATACTCATTCTGCCAGTAGCCGTTGCTTCAGAGTTTCCTCTTCTATGATCTTCTTGTTATGGTAATCATTTGAATACCTTCCTTGTTTTGATTACAGGAAGGTTCCAGCAACCTCCCATCATTCGATCAGCTCATCTTCTTTGACAAGCTGCTCTAAACATTCTCCCCCTCAGCTTGTCAATGATTCCATCCTGATGCATTTGGCGTTCCTGCACACATTAGCACACTCGTTACGTGCAGACTTCTCCATACACTAGTTGAAAAAAAATTTAACTTATAATGAAGGAAAAGGCACCGAGAGGAGTAATATTATTTCAGAAACAAACACTGTTTTACAACCGATAACATAATCTAATTAACCACGACACTGATGCTCTTAGACAGAGATTTATTCAAGAACAGACACTGATGCTCTAGACGACAGAGCTTTATTCAAAAATGCACACTCATTCCATAACCATTAACTTACTAACACCATAACCATTGACTCTTCTAGACCTTACTCGAAATCAATTCACTCCCCCTCACATCAGCAACCTAAGACTCCTTTAAAAAGGATAAGAAGGTGAGGACAGATAATCTAAGATGTCAGACATAGCTTCCTCATTTTCAGGCATAGCTTCTTCATTTTCAGGTATTCCTTCCACCAGGTCAGCAAGACTCAGACCTTCTTCAGGTCCACCTTCAGCCACGTCGGCAGGAACGAAAAAACCAACAGTCATTCCCCCTGAAGCATTGACCCGAGGAGGAGGATGACCTACAAGTGCGTCGACTTTACGGAGAACGAACTGAGCCCTAAGGGTATCGATGAGGTTAACACGAGCAACTTTGTAGCGTAGATCTAGACCCAAGGAACACATTAGTAGTGAGGAGCAAAATGCAGCTCGTCATTGAAGTAGTCATCACAATACTGCAGCATGTGGCCAAACATGAGATGGGGATAGCTGATGGGTCTATTCTCCTTGGCACTTGCAAGGATCCACATGTCCATGAGCTAGATACGAGTGAGCCCATAAGAATGAGGAAGAAACACACGAGTAATGTAGAAATGCAACACTTTAAGATCATCTTGCATACGTCTTGCTTCTAGTCTGGTTGGGTGATATGCTCCGATATCCCTTACATACAGATGTAGAGCCTCAGCCTCATTGAATTCCACAGTTGGGAAGTCAGCTTCGTCCACCACTTCTGCTCCATTGATAGGATACCCAAGCAAATATGACAACAGGTCAACAGATATGGTGAGCAGATAGTTGTAGACAGTTGTAGTGAAAGTGGGAGGATCCGTGTTAAAGCATGGTCTCATGTTTGCATAAAACATGCAAACAGCTTCAGGATGAAAGCCATAGCAATGATCGAGAGGCAGATTAGACCACCCGACAACATTGATCGGCCCGGGAATATTCATATCATAGCGATTGAAACGGGCGGGATCAAGAGACACAGAGGGGCACAAAGGACGATCTTGGAACTTAAGGAGATAGCGGTTATAGTCTTCAGCACTATTGAACCCTCTTCCAGTAAAGATGGCTGCTTGAGCAAGATGCAGAGGCACATGCGGGATGATTCCAGCCATGATGATGAAAGGGTTACAGAGAGCTTGATAGAGGTGTTGAAACTAAAGCAGTATGAGAGAAACCCCCCCCCCCCCCCCCCCCCCCCCCCGAGTAGAAAGATAATTTATAGACTCGACAAGAGGAACAAGGAAAGTCTAGGACGAATATTGAAGGATACCACTACCATAGCAAGGAATTACTTGCAGTAATCATACCAAGATTACAATGGGAAGGGATATGGGAAGACTTGACCCTAAAGAATAGATAATTCACCTAATAGGCTAAGGAAGCACATAAATGCTCAGAATTAAATACGAGCTTGGATATCCTTAATATCCTGAAGAGAAAAGATTTCCAGTTCTCGACGGATGGTAATAAATGATTCTGACCCTAATGGTTTCGTGAAGATGTCTGCCCATTGGAATGAAGTAGGTAGAAATTCAAGATGAATCTTGCCTTCTTGGACCAAGTCCCGAATAAAATGAAACCAAATTTCGATGTGCTTGGTCTTAGAATATTGCACAGGATTTTTTGACATGTTAATCGCACTTGTATTGTCACACAACACAGGAAGAGAACCAAACTCTAAACCATAGTCAAGCAGTTGAAATTTCATCCACAAAACGAAGATCCCCTTAGGGGCCTGAGAGATCTATAGACCTAAGAAAAAATTTCTCTCTCCCATGAGACTCATTTCAAAGTGGGTTTTCATAAGTTCTTCAAACGCTAGACACATATCCTTATTAGTCCCGCCAAAGATTATGTCATCTACATACACTTGAACTAGCAGCAGATGATTTGACTCTCGCTTAGTAAAAAGAGTTTTTTCAACCGCTCCTCTCTGAAAACCATTATCTAGGAGAAGTGAGCTCAATTTATCATACCATGCTCTAGGAGCCTGCTTTAAATCATATAAAGCCTTTTTAAGTTTATATACATGAATAGGAAACATGTGATCTCAAAACCTGGAGGTTGCGACACATAGACTTCATCTTTTAACTCGCCATTTAAAAAAGCACTATTGACATCCATTTGATATAATTTGAATTTATTAGAACTAGCAAAAACACATAACATCCTAACAGCTTCTAATCGAGCCACAGGTGCGAAAGTTTCATCAAAATCAATTCCCTCCTCCTGACTATAACCTTGTGCAACTAACCTGGCCCGATTTCTGGTTATGAAACCTACTTCATCACTTTTGTTTTTATATATCCATTTAGTCCCAATAATTACTCTGTTTTCAGGTTTTGGAACAAGTTCCCACACATTGACTCTTTCAAACTGGTGCATTTCATCAAACATAGCAGCAGTCCAAAATTCATCTAGAAGAGCTTCTTGGACAGTTTTAGGTTCTAATTGTGATACGAATGCAATGTGTGAAGGTGTGGTCTTTGACAGAGTAATCATACCTTTGTCCACAGGTCCGATTATTTGAGTAGGAGGATGTCTTCTTGAGATATAGGCTGAAAGCTGATGGTCGGATGAGCTTGGATTTGTGCCCTTCTCAGTTTCAGGAAGCTTAGAATTCTGAAATTCCTCATTAGAAGATTGTTGACTTTGATATAGTGATTCATGATCAGCTCTCTCTAAAGCTTGATTTGCAGGACCTTCATTTGAACAAACTGCTACTGGTCTTCCGAGACCAAAGTCATCATCATCAACTTCATCCGAAACCTCAATGACAGACTCATCAAATATCACATTGATGGACTCCTCAACCTTGAGGGTCCATTTATTAAAAATTCTATAAGCCTTGCTCGAACTAGAATAACCCAAAAACACTGCCTCATCATATTTCACATCAAATTTCCCTAAATTGTCTTTCGAATTTAGAACAAAGCATTTGCACCCAAAGGTTTGAAAGTACCCTAAATTCGGTTTTGTACCTTTCCAAATTTCATAAGTCGTTTTATTTAAACCAGACCTAATCAGGGCTCTATTGATAACATAGCAGGATGTGTTAATAGCTTTTGCCCAAAAGTATTTGGGAATCCCATAGTCATTTAACATGGTCCGAGCTATGTCAATTAGGGTTCTATTTTTCCTTTCCACTAATCCATTTTGCCGAGGAGTTCTAGGAGCAGAAAAGTCATGTAACGGGTCAGAGGAAAATTCTCCTCCATGATCACTTCGAATGTTATAAACCTTAGTCGTAGTTTCATTCTCAATTCGTTTGACTAAGGTTTTAAAGTTCACAAAAGCTTCATCTTTCTTAGTTAAAAACAGTACTCATGTAAATCTAGAAAAGTCATCAACCACAACTAATGCATAAGATTTTCCCCATAGCTAGTCACATTTGTAGGGCCAAACAAATCAAGACGAAGCAGTTCTAGAGGCCTGGAAGTCGAAATGATGGTTTTGCTCTTGAAGCTTGTTCTGGTTTGCTTTACTTTAGCACAAGCATCACAAAAAAAAATTCTCTTTTCTCATTAATTTTAGGAAGACCCTTGACCAGACTTAGGAGAGCTAGTTTTGACAAGGTACTGACATTTACATGCCCTAAACGCCTATGCCACTCTTCCTGGATATTTTTATCAAGACTAACCAAACACGTCTCATTAAAACTGTTCTTGTCATTGAGATCAATTGTGTAAATCTTACCATTACGTTTTCCCAGTGAACATCACTTGATTAGTTATAACGTTCTCGACAAAGCAACATGTTGGTTCAAAAACTACTCTACACTCCTTACCACACATTTGATTAATTGACATTAAGTTATGTTTTAAAACATTAACCAGCATGCCATTTTTTATTGAAGGACAAGTCCCAACTTGACCCTTTCCTATAACATCAGCTGAGTTGTTGTCTCCAACGAAAACTTTACCAAAATTACCTAATTTAAGGTTTGTGAAGAGATACTTGTTATCAGTAATATGATGTGAGCACCCACTATCCATGATCCATTTGGTAGTCTCCATGCTCACTTGAAGACACCTATGCAAACACACAGTTCAAGTTGTTTTTCTAACCCAGATATGCTTGGGTCTTTGAAAAGAGTAAGTATTCCAGAAGTATTGATTTCTACCCACCAAGGTATTTTTCTTAGCTTCTGACCTCAAACGTCTTTTACAATCTTTTATCAAATGACCCTTCTTGTGACAGTAAAAGCATTCTATGTCCTTCATAGATTCTTTACTGAGACTGGTATGACCATGTCTCCTGTGTTGAGTTGAAAGACTCCGAACCTGTTTTTTTAGATCTAAGCATTCCTTCTGAATGTTTTCATTTTCATTCTGTGTATGAACTAGAATATTTGGGATTTCATTTCCTCTAACTTCATTCACACATAGCTGGTTTTCTAGATCATGAATTTTCTTAAGATTTAGTTCATTCTCTTTATTTAATTTAGAGTACTTAACCTTGACATTCTCAAATTCTAATTGGATCTCCTTAATTGTTTGGCTTAACATCTCATCAGCACTATCATATTCAATATCAAGTAGTTTAGTTGAATTAGAGACACTTACCTAAGACTGATTTGTTTGTGATAATTTGCCTTCTTCCTCTGTCTCTTCTGCGACAACCATAAATGATCTATGCACTGTCACTTCATCGTCTTCATCTCCTTCATCTTAACTTCCACTCCATGTAGCTGTAAACGCCTTATCTCGTTTGAGAAGCGGGCATTCCGCTTTGATATGACTAGCTCTTCCACATTTAAAGCATCCAGTAGTGCTTATGCCCCTTGGACTCTGGCCAACCTCATTTCTCCCTTTTGTAAGCATTCTTGACTGTCCCAGCCTTGCAACTCCTTCATTTCTATCTATTTCTTTGGACTTTGCTCCTCCCATCTTTTTCCCCTTTCGAATCCTGATAAGTCGACTAATCTGCTTGCTCAACAAGGTTAGTTCTTCATTTTCCATATCATCCATTTCTTCTGGTTCATCTATTGGAATGGTTGCCTTGAAAGCAATCCCTCTTTTCCCTTTGTCATTGCTATCCTTCTCTGACCTAGCTTTCATCAATTTGTCTTCGTGGGTGGTTAGAGATCCAATTAATTCATCAATTGCAAGCTTCTACAGATCTTTGGCTTCCTCAATCGCTGTAACCTTTGGAGTCCACTTTTTAGGTAAGCACCAAAGGATCTTTCTTACAAGATCTCCACTCTCATATGACTTGCCAAGATTTTCCAAACTATTCACTATGCTTGTGAACCTCTCATACATATGTCGAATCGTCTCTCCTTCATCCATTTTAAACAGCTTGAATTGATGCTTAAGCGAATTTATCCTGGACGTTTTGACTTGTGACGTACCTTCATATGTCACTTGAAGTTTATCCCAGATTTCCTTCGCCGTCTTGCACCCCGCTACCTTATGATACTCCTCTGGACCAAGAGCACAGTACATTAGATTTGTAGCCTTACAATTTTGTTGAAATCTTTCATAGTCTTCATCAGTCCACTTTTCTTGATCTGCTTTGAGCTCATGAAGTCCTTTGATTACCCTCGCCCACATCTTAGGATCTGTTGATCCAACAAACAACTCCATTCAATTTTTCCAGTAGCCATAATGACCCCTTCGAACCTTGGTGGACGATTTTGAGAGAAACCATCAGCGAGATATAGCGGAGCACCACTTAAGGATCCTGACGCCATCTTGGATTTTGCCAAAGGTTGCAGAACCTTCTTGAACAGCGACCGGGCTCTGATACCATGTGTTGTTGGCGTCGAGCGCGAGATGCCTGCTACTTCTTTTGCTTCTTCTTCTTTCAATGACCTGAAACCCTAATTCGATCTTCTGAAAGAACATGTGAAAGATAGAAAGAAATATGTAGTATTGATCTGAAGGCTAATTAACAAAAAGCACTTCTCTTATTCTGATGTGTTATAAACAAGCGAGTTGGGCTTTGAAGATCCGGCCCACACTTTTTCTTTAGTTTTCTTTTAGTCTGTCACTTAACCTCTGTGCTGCGTTTTAACCTTAAATCCCTGATCTTCTTCTTTCTTCTGTCGAGTTTCCTTCCCAGTATAAGCTACTCGACCTGACTCTGCAAAAATAAGTAAGACCAGAACAACAGAAGAAT